TTCTCTACCGGCTGTAAAAGAGGGGTTTGAGCAGTATGAGGGATGGCTACAACGGGTGATCTGTTTGGTATTTTGAAAAAAAAACTTCACACACATGTTTTATATAGGTATGGCCCTACAATATATTTTTCAAATATAGCATGATAGGTCCACTTTAACATAACCAAGTAGTGTTGTTTTTATTCAATTTACAACATCAACCACATGTTTAACTACAAACATCATTTGAGAGAAACTAAACTTTACCACCTGTTGTCAGAAATACAGGTAAATTGTATTGTAAGGTCATTTACATCGGAAAGAGGGTTTTTCCAAAGTAACCGGTATTTTATTCCTTCTTATTCCATTGCGATGTAAACACTGTTATATTTTACCATATTTGTTATTATTTTTAATATTTTCTAGCTCTCTACCTGTGTTTTTAATTCTTGTTTTACTTTTATGCATGCACCACGACACCAAGTCAAATCCCTGGTACGCATAAACCTACCTGGTAATAAACCTGTTTCTGATTCTGATCACCAATGTATTCCACATCCCTCTCTGGATGTAGTTGCGGTCTAGGACCGGTGGCCATATGGAGGTGACGGCTGTGAGGGTCTGACTGCAGCTTCCCCTGCTCTGTGTGGCTCTCTCTGGCCACCATAGGAGGTGGGATGTAGAGGTGACTGTCTAGCCCCGTCCATGCTGTCTACCAGGCTGGACATGTGGCACAGCATCTGTCTCCGGAGGACAGACCCACACCCTGTTTCTGCCTGGGTCACAACCATATCTTATTAACAATAAAGGTGAACAAATGGTTCGAATCAGACTACAAGTAATATCCTTGTAAATGTGGTACGTATGAAATGTGTTTTGTCTTTTTAATGAAGATCAATATGCTCATTCACCCGTTTATTATTAATTCCTTGTGCATGGGTTGTAAAAATTTGATTCCCAGTAACAATGAAAACGTGCAAAAGTTGGAAGATTGCTGGTTATACATTAATAAAGGGTTTGATATGCCTCAAGTATTATAAAAAAAAGATTCTAGGAAATATTTAAACCAACATCCAATAGCTGAAGCCACACTATGAAATGAACCAGATCTAATCAATTACCTTAAATTGCTATGTTTAGTTTCAAATGTTTGAATCAGGAACAATACATTAATATTTACAGTAGCAGAAATGAAGCAGAGGTTTATACATAGAGAAGTACTCTAAAAGTGGCTTTTTTTAAATTTATTATGTGATACAATAGGGCTGACTTTGGTACAACTAAAAGGACAAAACACTAGTGTCCACTGAGGCTCTGTAGGACAGAGGCCGTGAAAAATTTGACACAGCCACAAGCAAAATAAATGTAATGGCAAATTCTGCAACCAGAATAAACCCCCCGCGGTGCAAGGGTGAACAGACACACAAGCACACAACATCACAAATGAAATGTTGAATGTAAATTGTACGACAAGAGTCATAAATCTCTCAGCAGCCGCTGGGCAGCAGGGGTCGGGCAGCCAGCGGTCCTGTCAGAACGTGCAGCTGTGTGAACAGAGATAGCCGCTGTACAGTTGGGGACACTCAGGCAGGCCTGCAGGCTCAACACTGGAATTGGCCTCTGAAATGCTCTATTAGTTTTACAAATGGACCATGATGCTCGCTGGACATGTCTGTTCCAAACATATATTCATTTTTAGGGGGAACTCATTAACATATGTCCAAAATAGCATGTCCGTACCATAAAAGATGTATTGTGGTTTTTAAAATAACGAAATCACCCTAAATGCTTCGTCACACCTGCATTTCTTTTCAAAATGTTTGGCTAGAGAAGCTTGGTGATATAGTCAAGCTGAAGTCAGGAAATCAGAGCTGGGAATGACGTCACATCAGAGTTGAACTGAGTTTGTAGCAGAACAGGGGATAATAAAGAAAATACAGCAACATTCCTTCCCTGATCTTAAAAGGGGGAGTGGCTAAACGAGCCACACCTGAGAGCTGGAGGAAGCTAATCAAGGCAATGAGTCACACCTTTGAGCTGTAGAGGAAAATCAGATCTGCTCAACTGCAGAAAGAGAAAAGACTGATCAAGCTATTGAACCCAGTTGGGTTTTTGTGGGACTTTTTCTGATCAACCAGGCTGTTTTCGAGTGTCACTGAACCCGAGAGCTGGTGGTGAAACAATCACCTGTCAACCTGCTTTTTCTGTGGTCTTCCCTGGCCTGCTTGGACACTCAGAAGTTTTCTCTGCCTCTTTACACAATTCTCACCTTTCCTATGCAAACAATATCAAACTGTTATTCTCACATAGGCTTTAGAAACATCCATGGTCAGAATTCATTGAACAATAAACAATCACATCAAGTACTGTTTCTGGGATAAACAAAATAATTATCCCAACAGTTCGTCCAAGAGCTCCAGAAAGTGCCACTATGCACCTGTTCTATCCCTGCTTTAGCTACAGTATATCAGCATGCTTTGCTTTTTGCTTTTACACTGGTTTAATGAGCAGGTGGTGTCCTAGTGTGTAGCACTGTTGGAAGAAAACACTTTTAGAGTCTGTAGTGTTGTGTGTGCGCCAAAATAAAATCAAAGAGGGCAGAAACAGATTGCTGAGAGGGAGAGCGCCAGAGCGGGAGGAAGACTAATGAAGGTTATAGAGAAGGAGAAAGTATGAAAAAGGATAGGAGAAGAAATGAGTCTGGGTTTATAAAAGAGACATGAGACAGAGGGATGGTTGAAGAGCCTCTCTGGATTTGCTGAATCCCCTCCGCCTCAAGTTTCAGGACAGTCACACTGACACACTTACTGCCTGGTGCACTCTCTTTTCTTTCTATTTCTTCCTCTCACACTGGTAATGAGAACCGTAGGAGTTCGCCAACTGTCACATGCACACAGCAGTGTGTTTAACAGCAGACAGAGTGCTTGCCTGCTAACCTACCCAAACTAAACCAGGGTTTCGCCCCAAAAATGTAGTGATTTACAGTATGGGCATTTAGTTTCTTAAAGGAAACAGACAGTCAAAACAGATTGGATCCCCTCCACATGAGAAATACAAACCCCTACACACACACACACACACACACACACACACACACACACACACACACACACACACACACACACACACACACAAATTAGTATTTTTAGACATCTGCCACAGTGCTATAGCTACAGTGTGATACAAAAATAGGAAGAAACCATTATTATTTTTATGTTCTCCTTAAAACCACCTTGCTTGATGTTCTACCAATTAATAATTGCCTAAATAGGTGCTTGAAATATACAGTATTAAAAAATGTTCTGCCACATGTCAAGTCTAGTTCAGTCCAACATAACATAATACATTTAGAGTGCTTACTCTACATGTAAGTCTAGATTCCAAGCTTAAAAAGAGAACATTGTTCTGCCGCTAACAGCTAGCTACTTTAGCATAGAGGACTGAAAACGTTTAAGAGCAGCTAAAAAGTGGTCATTGTTAAACATTGATTTGGTATTAGTTTCAAAAACAAGATGATGTACTTTGGAAATGCTGCTAGGCGAAGTTTGTAACATTTGGAGTAAGCTAGGCTAGCATTTCTTGTGCTAAGCTAAGCGGCTGCTTGCTTTAGATTCGTTAACAAAGGAAAGAATGCAAATGTATTGCCCAAAATCTCAAACAATTCCTTTAAACACGATTATTCATCGTTGTAATTGTATCAGTCATACACTTTGTATAGGTCTTTAAATAGGCACCTAATTGTTTCTATACTTATCCCTTTGTTCTAGCCAGGTTTTTCAATTTACATCAACGGTATTAAAAGAGCGTGACCTCCTAGGGTTTCCTTTAACTGACATGCTTAATTTTCTCGCACTCCACCCAGCACAGACATCCTCCATCTCATTAAAGCATGGGCCATTTAGTTAGAGAGCGTAATGAGCTTGAGACTCTGGTGCTGTGAGTAACGTTCATGAAAGCAGCGTGCAGCAGCGATGGAGGTGTGGGGTCGTTTGATAATGGATTTCTTAAAGAAGAAACCATACTGTCATCATTATTGCAAACAGTATGAATTTATTTCCCACAAGTGCATATTTTACATTACCAAACTAACGAACAAGAGAACTCATTATATCGTATCCAGTTTCCCTGCTGTCTGTAACCATGTAAGATACTAAATGATGAATGAATCTTGGCGTCGTATTCGCAAATACTGTACTTCAATAACAGAGAAAACCAAGAGCACGTGTTCCTCCACTATCAGCTCCAAACACTGCTGTACAAATATGTCCAACACTTCACATTTATCTCCCTCTGTATTTACATTTAAAGTGACATTAACAGACGAAACCTCTTCAAATAGCATGGACAATTTTCTAAAAGCAATCAGGGGGAACTAACACTTTTCATTGGAAATGACTATTTTTCAGTCACACTTGACACTTCCTATCTAATCAACACATTCCAGACAAGCCCAGTACAAGATGACAAGTTATACATTCACAGTCTTTTGCTGCTTATCACAACAATATGAGAAGTGACAGCAAGAGTGTCAGGGAAAACATATGTATTCCTTTCTGCTTGTATATCGTTGCCATACAGCACAAAACGTGAAGTAGTTGATTGGCAAAATCAAGTCCAGTTCTGACAGACAACAAAGCAGAATGGATTTGCTGGTCGATCTTTCTACTGTGTTGCTTTTAGACAGTCACAGGCAAGAGGAGATGTGATGAATTCCCCTGGAGCCAGAGCAGGGAAAAGAGCTGAACTTGTTCTCACATCTGCTGCTGCTGAGGAGAAATAACTAGCTCCACTCACTTTGATGGAGAAAGCAATACACACACACTGGCTCTCCGCCTGGCAGCTTGGAAGTATAACTCATTTGTTCACATTTCTCTCATTTCCCATTTTGTCTCACTTTTTTCCCTCTCCTTGGGGGAAATCACTCCTGCAATCATCACCATCATTGCCTCTGGTGTTAAGTTTATCACGGTGATAATTCCCATCATCACCCTCACCAAACCTCCTCCTTAAGTCTCACTTACCTGTGCAATCTCATACAGCAGTTTGTAGTGTTCCTCCCGTTTCTGCAAGGTGCACAAATTGCAGCCCATTCTAGTTGTCAGGGAAACAGTGCAGAGTGCCCGCTGGCGTGTGTGTGCTGTCTGCGGTGTGTGTGAGCTTCCCCCCGGGGCGAAACACACTCGGGCTCCTCTTCCTTGACTTCCCCCACTCCTCTTTCTCATCCGTGTATCCTCAGAGATCCCCTCTGTTGCCTCCGAGCGCACACACACACACCCTGACACACACCCACGTGTATCAGCTCACTGCTCTGGTAGAGTTCCTTCAGTGTGTGTGTGTGTGTGTGTTTGTGGGGAGTGTATCAGTGGTAAGATGAGTAAAAAGCACCTGGCTTCTCTTTCCCTCTTGCCTGTCACTCCTTCCCTTGATTCTCACTTGCATGCCTACATACACCCTCTCTTCTCCACCACCTCTTCTCTCAATGTGAGCTCACGCTGGTACACACACACACACTTTTGGCTCATGGAGACACACCTCCTCCTGTGGCAGGCTGCCTACACTTGCCTCATCCTACTCCGGCTCATACACACTGTTTTCATTGGCTGTTTAAGAAAAAAAGGGGATGGAGGAAGAAGGAGGGGACTTGTCTTATCTTGGCCAGGTTTACCATCTGAACATCAGTGTTGTTGCTTGCACGCGAACAGAAAGGCCATGTGTGTTTGTGGATCTGTGTGTGTGGGTGCATTTGTTGTGTATACACAATTCAAACCATTCCAATGTTAGAAATTCAATACAAAAAAAGGACCTAAAATGCCATCCCTGCAGGTAATGAAGTTACTGAGATAGCTATTTGTCTGCACCCACATTTGACAACTGGATTTGGCATGGCAATCAATCTCATTTAGATTCAATCAGATAGACTTTTGCACTCAGTAACATGCTTGTTAAAGTGGGTAGTGATTAGTGGCCGCCATGGATTTACAGTCAGAGAGTGACAGTCACCAAACAGATGCTCCTTCTCCCTCTCTGCCGGCAGGGAGACAAGGGCACCGGACTGCGCTGACACAAACAGGAAAGAACACAGACCCGTATTGATTGGCTTCAAATTAGCTTCCAGCCCAACTGGCCTCTCTCCACAGGGGTGAGGGAGCAGAGGAGGGAGTGAAGGAAGAGCAGAGAGAAGAAGATGTGATGCCGTTACGATGGATTGAGAGAGCAGTGTTGGTAATACAACGCTGTCACATTATCAGTTATGCTGATTTGCCACAACAAATGTGTTTGGACAGAAACGTAATTCTTGCCAGATAACAGTTTTTCCAATTTCAATTATCGTTATCATGGTTATGCACTTAATTTTAGGTTTCGATCTAATACTGACGTTTTAAGTGAAATTGATATTTGTGGACATAGAGTCTTCAGGTTGGTGTTTTCTATTACCTCATTCATACCAACGGTGTTTCAGGGCCGGTTCGGAGCTGGAGCTTGAAAAGCACCGGGTTTTCCTGTTCACACCGCAGCGGAGCAGCCTCTTAGCTCCGGAATCTGGTTCGTTTCGAGCACCAAAAAATTGTCCGACCAGAGCAAAAGCACCACATACGTCACGCTTACGTCGAGGCAGGGGCAGGGGCAGGGGCAGGTTTAACTCCTGAACAACAACAAAAAGCCGGCGTTTTATCCAGTTTGTACACAACGATGGAGAAACTTAACAAGCAGCAGTGGTCCACTGAAGAGACCAGCTACCTACTGGGAATCTGGTCTTCTGAAGAGGTACAGAGGAAGCTGGAGCACAATCGGCCATTGTTGTTGTTGTCGGTGTCAGCTGTCAGGGGTTTACGCGCGGTTTGGCTTTATGAAGCAGGCACGCAAACGGTTACGTCATGACGCAAATGTGAAAAGAGCCGGAGCTAAACCGAAGAACCGGTTCTGAACCTGAAAAGCTCTAGCACGGAGCTTGAACCGGAGTTGCGTTGGTGTGAATGAG